GGTGCGCAAACAGCTGTCAAGCAGGCTGGTGGAAAGAAGAATATACGTGCACCACGTGATCTACCCGTACCATCCAAAGTTGGAGGTTTCCTGCCGTTTCTCGTACCTCTGTTTGCGGGTCTGAGTGCTGCTGGAGCGTCAGCAGGAGGTGCAGCAGGTATAGCCAAAGCCGTGAACGATTACAAGGCAACCAAAGAACAATTGAAGGAAAGCCAACGACATAATAAAACGATGGAATCCATCGCGCTTGGCAAAGGACTGTACTTGAAACCCTACAAGAAGGGACTGGGCATTCATCTAAAGCCAAAAAACTTGAAGTGAAACTACCAGGTCGAGCGTTAACTGATGCAGATCTACTCAAGTACGCCAGGATCATGAAAATTCCACATTTTCGTGGAATTTTTATACGGAATCCTATGCCAAAAGGTGGATCGTACAAATACGAATTGGCAATCGTCAATCTCGACGATGAGAATTGTTTCGAAATACACTGGGTCGCCTACATGAAGAAAAAAGACTCAGTAATTTATTTTGACAGTTTCGGTAATCTTGACAATTTTGGTAATCATTATGAACGGTATCAGAACTATGATACTTTCGAATGTGATCACTTGTGTCTCAAGTTTTTATGTGGACAGTTAAATCGTAAGAATAAGTATCGTCTATATAAACATGCTGTATAATTTCATATCGTCAGTCAAACGTTTGCAATCATGAAAGATTCATTCACGTTAACTTTATCCGGCAATTCTTTTATACTCGAAGCCTAGTACTTTCCCCCCATCGAGCTTTTTCGAGATAAAAATTATGCTCTGGGGCTCATCGAATTACTAACCTTTAATTCGATTCCTAACGTGGGCAATGGTCACATGTTCTACGTGAGGGATGAAGTTATCGTTATACCCATTTGTAGCTATGAGATAGAGGATATGGAAAACTATGTACAGAGTGCGCTGATAGATAAAAGTATCCTAATTCGTATTAAGCCTAACAATAATACCTTGTGCAACGAAATTAAGTGTAAGCGTGACATCAATTTTCAACCTGATGATTCGATTGGTCGATTGTTGGGTTTTACTCAACGCGTTTTGGAAGCTAATAAATTACATACATCCGACGCACCTGTAGCCATTCTCAAGGAGAACGCCTTGCGAGTTTAATGCAACATTATTACAGGCGCTTACATAAACGAACGTAAGGTACATACCATCCACGAATTCTTTCAGATTGTACCACCAGGATATAAGATTATAGAGGTGCCGTCGCACGTCATTT